CCTCTCCTCTCCTCTCCTCTCCTCTCCTCTCCTCTCTTCTTCTCTCCTCTCTTCTTCTCTCCTGATCTCTCCTTTACTTCCCCTCTTCCTCTTCTTCTCCTCCCTTGCTCTCTCTATAACTCCTGCTCTCTCCTATCTCATTGATTCATAATTACCAGGTGAACAGTCTCTTCTCTCACAAGCTCCCCATCCATGATATCCTGTCTCACATCATGCTCAAAGAAATGAGACAGCTGACCATGGACTGAAACTTGGTTCTAAGAACATGAATCAATACAAACCTTTATTCTTTTTTTTATTTTTTATTTTTATTTTTATTTTTTTTTGTTTTTCGAGACAGGGTTTCTCTGTGTAGCTTTGCGCCTTTCCCAGGACTCACTTGGTAGTCCAGGCTGGCCTCGAACTCACAGAGATCTGCCTGCCTCTGCCTCCCGAGTGCTGGCATTAAAGGCATACGCCACCACCGCCCGGCCTCAAACCTTTATTCTTAAGTCATTTTTTTCTATATATTTTGTCACAATTGGGAACAGCTGACTAACACAGCATCATAGTTTAAACCATGGTCAGACCATCTGTTTTGGATTTAGCAAAAGCCACATAACTAATCTGACTATTTCAAAACACTGAGAATTAATGACAATATACCTCTTCCCACTCATTGCCTTTATTCTGCCTTTTGGATATCTGGACTTAAACTAATTTTACCTGGTTTCAGCAAGGCTTTCCATATGATATTCTTGTGCTTCTTGTCTTTGATATGGAGCGTAATCCCTGAAACCATGTGATCAACATAGATCTCAGAGAAGAGCTGCAATTCCCCGGGGCTTCTGTAGCACAGCTCTAGTTCCTGAAGACAGAAAAAATTACTGTGTGAGAATGAACTACTCATCCTGTGAAGGAAGGCTGTCCTCACCCCCATACTTTCTTGATCTTGCACACTACATTAGACACTGGTTATCTTTTGAATTGAGGTAACCCACAGCCTTTGAATACACATCTTTATTTGAAAGGTTAAGGACCCAGCTTGGATCCCATCATGCTATTTCTTTTCTCATCACTCTGACAAAAACCTCATAAGGAGCAGCTTAAGAAAGTGTTTATGTTGTTTAGTTTCATGGTGGGAAATTCATGTAAGCTGGAGCTCCATTCTTGGTGGCAGGAGATAGTGTCGGGGCTCATTATATCCCAGATGATAAGCAAATAGTTCCCTGAGGTGGGGAGCAAGGCATGGATATAATCCTCAAGGCCTGACACTAAAGACATGCCTTTAATGGCCAGACCTTACATATTTGTTTCCACAAACTCTCAAAACACTACTACTAGCTGAGGACCAAGTGTTTAAATATGTATATCTATAGGACACATTTCAGATTCCAACACTAAACATCATAGATGAGTGAGAGCTCATCTGGAAAGTCCTGTTCACTTGTTCTCTAAGACATCCTTAGATAGACTCTGCTTTGTGCCATATTGAACCTAATTCCCCAGTTCTCCAGTCTCATTCTACATTCCTGTGTAGTCTCATAAAATGCTTCCCACCTAACTTGGATGTATTCTTGCTCATCCCAAATCTCAATTGTTTTCTCCCCAATCAATTTGATGCAAAGCCTTGTAACCTGCCCCATAGCTTCCCAAGCCTGGCATCTGACCCTGAAGAGTAGCAAACTCGTGGATGCTCACCTTTGGGAAGATTTCCAGGTTCCTGGGACCAGATATGATGTAGCGGGAACCAATATAAAGAGATTCTACTGGGGGTGGCTTGTTTATTCGAGCAAATTGGAATTTCATTTCTTCATCATCAATGGCCTAGGGAACATAGCAGACAGCAATTTATCTGGATTTCTGAGCCACAACATTGGGTCTGCATAAGGTGAGATGATCATTTAATATATTTTTGTGGGATTGGATGGTGACACCTCCTGGTCTTCCTATGTCTGCAACACAGATTGTTGTGGCCATGGCCACATTCTTTGTGGGAACAGGGTTACTGCCACAGAAGAAAGGAACTGCCTACAAGTTGTGCATAGAGAATTCCCATCTTTCTGATGGGTGGAAAGAGGCTATAGAAGGATGTTTAGGGACTAGTAAATAGACATCAAAGACATTTGAGGAGACTCTGGTGTGGGGCCATGAGGATGGCAGAATCACACACACACACACACACACACACACACACACACACACACACACACACGTTCTCCTTGTAGAACTCTTATGAATCTTTCCAATGGATTCATTATTTGCATCTCAAGTTTTCTCTCAGTCCACCCTGGCCTCATTTTGTGGTCCTCAGTGTTACCTTCCGAATGGTGCAGTCATTAGGGACCAGATAAAGGTGAAATGTCACTTCCTTGAGATTGAGGTGATAGTAGATCAATGTGATGGAAGTGATGGGGATGGAGTGTCCAAGAGCAGGAGTCATATTCATTAGAACTCCCACTGGGGAGAAGCTTGGGTTTTCCAGCACTGCATAATGCTGTTCCATCCTTGTTGGAGTTTCTAGGACCATCCCATGTTCTTGAAAGTGGGCCACACGGAACCGGGAGATGTCCACATGTCCCTCTGTGAAAGAATAGATTCAAAGATGTATATTTAGTTTTTCCATTGAGCCATGCTTGACTGGAAAATTAGCACCCTAGGATTTAGAATGACTGTGGTGATTTGAATGAGAATGGTCACCATAGCTGGTGAAATTATTTGGGAAAGACTGGGAGGTTTAGTCTTGCTGGAGGAACCTTGTCAAAGGAGTGGGCTTAGAGGTTTCAAAATCTTGTGATGTTTCCAATTTCCTTTCTCTCTTCCCCTTGACAATAAGTAAGCTCTCAGCTACTGCTCCAATGCCAAACCTGCCTGCCTTTTGCCCTGATCCCTGCCATGCTCCCTGCCATGATGGTAATGGACTCACCCTCTGAAGCTATAAGAACCAATAAAAATTTTTCTTCTATAAGTTGCTTTGGCTATGATTTCCATTTAGTTTGTATTTATTTTTTGATGTTCATGAGAAAAATTATGACCAAAATTTAAGTTTTATTAATTAACATCCAATGACAGCACAACAGAACTATCAACTGTTTCCTCATTATCAATCACCATGCCAGTGAGGGTGAGTGTGAGCTGTTTCTAGTGGTGACTCATGCAGACTGACCCTCACTGGAGGCAGTTTACCTTTGGCCCTGTCTAACTGCTGGGGGAGCATTCATAGTGGAGTGGTGGTTCTTGCTGTTCTCATCTATAGATGCTATAAAGAATACAGCCTCAGAGGCTACAGACAGAAACCTAATAATCAGCAGGTTCTTAGAGGTGCTGCCATCACCAGCTTCAGTGTCTTAGGATCCTCTAAATTCTTAGTTGCAGAATAGAGTTTTGCTGTTATGAAAGAGACACAACGGTATTTTGTTCACTGAAGACAGGCTGAATGGATTCCTGGAATAGTTAATGTCAAATATGAACTGGATAAAATCTAGAATCAGCTTGGATGTAGGCCTCAGGGCCTGATAGGAGGAGATTATCTTGAGCGGATCAATTGAGTAGGGAAGACCTATCCACTGTATGTAGCACCATTCTGTGGACTAGGACCCAGGACTGTTTAAAATGGAGAAGGTCACATGAGCACAAGCATTCACTGTTCCCTGCTCTCTCTATTGACACAAGTTACCAGGTGCCACAAGGTCCATGTTCTCAGACTTCCATGTCATGATGAACTTTTGACTGTGAGGCAAAATAAAGCCTTTCTTTCATAAGTTTCTTTGGTCAAGCATTTTGTGTGAGTTACAAGTGAAGTAACCTGGGCAGAAAATTGATACCAGGACTCAGATTTTTGTTGTAATAAACCTAATCATGTGCTTCTTCAGCTTTGGAACTGTTTTGTGGCTGGAATGTGAAGAGTTTTGTACTTAGGACCTGGAAAGCACTTCCATGCTGAGAACAGAGCTTAAGGGGACATTCGGGTGGAAGCAGGAAGACAAGAATGCTGAGAGAGACAGTGGAGGCCAGTCTGTGGGGTTGTGGAGAGCAGCAAGGTTTCCATTGGGAACTGTGAAAGGATCCATTCATGTGACAGTTTAGCCAAGGGTCTAGATTTATTGTGTTAATGCTGTGAATATGAGTGAAGATGAATTTATACATAAGGGACTAATTTGGCAGGAGAAGTTTCAGGACAGAAAACATCCAAAATGACTCTACACAACCCGCTGTAGCTGTGAGAGAGCAGCGTCACTGAGGGGAAGGCTGCAGCAGGTAACAACAGGAAAGGGGTCCCGAGGGAAAATCTCACTCTTCATAGACTCATCTTGTGAAGATCCACATTCGTTTAAAGATAGGAAGACTTGAGTGATGGTGTTCCCTGTTCCCCAAATGCAAATGCAAGGAAGTGTTTCCCATGTTCAGCACATCATACAGCTGTGGTCCAGGAGAGCAGGGAGAGGCCACATCTCAAGTTGTCAACAGAACTTGTCAGTGTCATCACTATAGATTTTAGGCATGAAAGATGCTGGATTGATGGATCACTGAGTCATGCTGCACAGTTTCAGATATCAGCTGAGGTGAGGCAATGTACTTGAGTCAAAGGTCCTGCAAGGAGGGCCTGAGAGCTCATTCTATGAACGTTGGAAAGTGAAGCCTAAGGTGGAGTGGAAATCCTAGGAAGTTGTTGAAGCCAGAACCACATAGTTTCTGCTACATAAAGTGTTATGAAAGGAGTAGAGAGATGGTCTAAGGAGAGGTTGTGTGTGCTTCATGAGGTAGAACTGGAGGGATGGAGCTATCTATGTCCTTTGGAGTTCAGCGAATGACATCATGATCTCTGTAGCTGGACATGAAGCTGCAGGATTGGTGTTTATGCTGATGAAGTTTTGTCTTGTTGTCTGATCATTTTTTGGTTCACTAATTCTTCTATTTTTGAATGGCAATGTTTATTCTGCACCATTTTATGTTGAAAGTATGTAACTTGTTTTTTATTTTCTAGAAGCTCATATTTAAGACATTGCCTTGACTCTCAAGAGGTGGTCTATATGGGATTTTAAACTGTTGAAATTATTAAGGACCATGGGAACCTTTGAAATTGTATTTTTTCATTATGAGACAAATCTGAAACTTTAGAGATATGAGGTGGAAAATTACAAATTAATGTGCTTGGACGTCAAGTTGATACTGGGTGGAATCATGATGTTGAATCTCACTTGCCAGCTTGATGTGATCCTTGCTAATGGGTGCACAACTCTGCAATCTACCATTTGCCTGTCCCTTCAGTTCTGAGTTTGCTTCCAAATTGTGCTATGATAAACATTGTTGCAATGTGTGTTCTTTAGCAGAGAGCTTTTCTAGTTCTCTTGGGTGATTGCTTTGGAATCAGTAATCACCAGATAATGAGATAATGAAACAATGAAATTGCTCATGAATAGAGTGATGCAGCTTAAGATTTCCACCAAAGACATGCTAACTAATAGTTTTACATGGAACCACACAGCACTAAAACATACCCTGTGTGACAGTTCTGGGCCTTGACACCCTGGCTTTCCCCAAGTCAGCTTCAGCCTCAGAACCAGATCCTTGACTTGTCAATGCTTTGGAGATCCGTGTGCACCTGCTTTGTGCAGTGTCAATTTTGATGGATTCCAGAATATGCTGTACCTCTCCAACTTCCTTTTTTTTCTAGGGTAAATGTTATTCATAATCCTCCCAGGAGTTGAGGGAAATGTGGGGGGCTGGACTTTCATTGTTAAGACCAGAAATTTCCTGAGGCATCTAAGATGACTTAGTAAATTTTTTCATTTATTTTCTCATTTGGGGTTTTTGGGGATACAGAGATTCATTATGTATCTCTAGCTAGAAGTCACAATGCTCTTGCCTAGCCTTCAGAACTCTGGGTATGTGCCACCACCTGTCCTTGTGACTGTCCCTTCTATACATATTGTCCTTCTATAAACTTTAACAGAATCACATATATTTAATTTTCCAAAGGTGTAGCTTTTCTGATCTGAGAGTTGAAATAAGAAACAAGAAAGGCAGTGGCTGCAGGGAAGAGCTTGTGAGGTGACTGGGGTAGTTTTGTTGGGGAGACCAGGAGATCTGTGTGCACCTGCTGGACTGGCCTCATTAGACACACTGGGGAGGTATCATCCAGGTAGCAGTGCTTCTGTGTCGGGGTCTCATGTGTTTATGAATGTGATTATTGTTTGTTTATATTTGCTTTGCGACTTCCTTTTAGCTAATTCCTGCTTGTTTTCTTCATCTTCATTTGTTTTCCTCTTTTGAGTTTGACATTTAATGTGAAGATTTTTAATCTGAGGGATGCTTTTCTATTCATGTTTCTTCTATCAGCTGGACCAGTCTGTATTTCTACTTTAGTATTTCTTCTTTAGTTTTTATGACTTCTTCAGTTATCTGGACTTCCCTCTTAGACCTACTCCTCATCTTCATCACCATGAACAAACACCATCTTCCTCTGCTGTGGGCTGGATTCTCCTGGTCTCTATGGTAGGCCTATTGCTGTGCTCCTTGAAGCAGGAGAGGAAGTTCGATCATTATCCACTTGCACAACACCTGGTTCCTTACTGTTGTTGCTTTTTCCTTTTATAAGCAGAGTCTGGCTGTGTAGTCTAGGCTGCTCTTGAATTTTAAATTCTCCTGTCCCAGCCTCAGGAGATCTGGGTTACAGACATGTAGTAATGGCTTTCTGTATGAGAATTTTCATTGAGAATATTTTTTACATTAAAACCTCTTCTTTTTGGTCATATGCTGTGATTATTTAGCTTGGTTTAGCTTCTTTTGGAACTCCTATCAGTGAGAGTAGAGTTGTCTCTGACTCTTTTTTTTTCTGTTCTCAGGACAATTTGCCTCTTACTGGATTACCTCATCTACCCTTGATATGAGGGTTTGTGGTTAGTCTTATTGCAACTTGTTATGCTATGTGTGGTTGGTTCTCTTCTGAAGAGACAGAGGAACAATGGATCTGGGGGAGAGGGGAAGTGATGGGGAACTATGAGGAGTAGAAAGATGGAGGCTGCAGTTGGGATGTATTCTATTTCAGAAAAATAAATAATAAAAAATCTTGTGAAGGGATCTTTGGAGATAATGGAGGTTGGGATACTTGATGAGCCCCCCTTTTTTTTGGACATCCCTCTTCTGTTGCTCTAGTACTCATATAGAATCTGGTGACATCATTTTATCCCTGCCTGCAGCAGTGTAATGGCTTATAATGTTGGTAGACCCTTGATACCAAATGATCCTTGTTAATTTCCTTAGTCTTACTTTGCAACAATCTCTTCAAATTTCTCAGTTTATTCTCAGTTCCATGCTGGGCCCCCAGGGGACATGTTGGGTAATGAGCACTTAATAATCTTTAGTTAATATTGCTACTGAGGACATCACCTTCCAATTAAGGACTCCTTCGGGTAAAACAGAAAGAAAGTCACAAGGCTGGGAATCATGTGCTTCAAAGAAGATACATCAGACAAAAAGGTATGACAAAACATCTCAGTGTTCACCTTCATAACCTGCTCTGCCCTGCTAAGAAAGCCGTGAGACCTTTCCACATCACCATCATTCTATAGTCCCTATATGACATGTGAAATTCTCCCATTACCACCACCCTACTCCTTGCTTCCCTTGGTTACCTTGGAGAGCCACAAAATGAGGGAGGTGCACAGCAGCCACAGCTCCCTGCTCAGCCTTGATGTCAAACAGAGGCCCAGCTACCATGTGACTATGCTCTAAGGGAGTCTTGTCCAGGTATTGGGTCCAGGCACAGAATCGAATCTCGATGGTCACTGCCCTTGTCACCACAAAGTGGAGTCCTGTGTTGGGACAGTGGTAGGAACCAGGCACAGGGAACTGAACTCTAGAAGAAGGAGAGGCAGACACCAGTGAGAACCAACCCTGCTCCACTGTTGGGTGCAGACCCAGTGCAGGGCTAGGGACACAGCAGACTTCAGCCAGAAGGCTCTGAGTTCTGGTTCCTCTGCTGTCTGTCTGTGGATCCCTGATTAAATCATTTAACCTCCAAATCTCTTTCCTAATCTGTACATAGGGGTAATGAGCACCATCTCATAGGCCTGTGAGTACTGAGTGATCTAGAGCAAACCTACAGGTAACACACACCTAGAGCAGTTAGATATTCCTGTAATGATAAAATAGGTGTGTGTGTGTGTGTGTGTGTGTGTGTGTGTGTGTGTGTGTGTGTGCGTGTTTTAAGTTCTGGGGATCAAGTTAGGACCTTGCACACTATCCAAGTGCTCTACCACTGAGGTACATCTTCAGTTTTTAGACTTTATGTTCCTGAAGTATATATTTAAGAATATTTAAGAGACAAGAGAACTCTAATATAGTGAAGGGACGGATGCTGTTTACACTGAATAAAATAATCTGCAGAAAAAAAACATTTCAGATAATGAGCCAAGTTGACTTCACACTGTTTATATAAAATGAAGGACTCCTGTCAGCTCTGTTGATGTGGTAGTGGTGTGCTGGTTGTGGAAGATGAGGTCCTGTCTTAACTGTGGGGGAGGCATAGTGAAATGTTTGTGTGTGAAGTCACTTGATGTCCTGGACTCACAATACTGTGACAGTAATGACAAAGGGGGAATGTGAGTAGTTAAAACAAACTTGGAAAAATGGTTTCTGGAGCTGAGTAACTGGATAGTGAATTTCTGGTGCTCTCCTGCTTTGCAAATGTTTGAAAATTTTTATGTAAAAAACCCCTGTTTTTACAACAGCCCAAACTTATTCCAGTCTTGGTCTTGCCCCCTTAGTTAGTGAGGGGAAGAGGAGACAGTAGACACTATATAGATGCTATCTGTGGGAATCCTTTGTGGAAAGTGAACTGGGGAAAGTCAGTCTTCGCTAGGCAGAGCTCACTCACCGGTACAGGCTCCTCTTTCTGTCAACCACCTCTGTAGCCACAGGTCCTGTAGGTCCCCAGAAGTCATCTTCAGTCCCCAGTGATTCCAGGTGCTTGTCTCTTGGAGAGTCAGGAGAAGATGGATGGAACGGCTCTAGTGGTGCAAATTGTGAGCACCCCTCCTCTAGAAGAGTCCAGGAAGAAGTGGTCACTCTATGTCTCCTCAGCTCTTCCCAGTTCTGGCCCAAGGCTGAACTATTTTCCAGGATGGCTAGCCCAGGCCTTACCAAGGAGTGTGTCCACAGATTTTATTGCTGTTCCTGAGGTTATTTGCATTCTATCTATCTATCTATCTATCTATCTATCTATCTATCTATCTATCTATCTATCTTCTACATACATACATACATACATACATACATACATACATATGTATACACACACACACACACACACATATATATATATATATATAGTATTTTGTATTTTTTTTTTACCACTGCTTGTTTTCTGAGCAACCCTACCACCCCAATGTCTGTGCCTAACCCAAGTGCTGTGTTTCATTTCCTCTTGGTCCAGTGTGTTGATTTTCTTAACATGTCTCCAGTGGGTTGTGAAAAGAATCTCAATGAAAAGATGAATGAGCAGGGATTGGAGGTGATTTCCCAGGCCATAGCAGCTCAGAATGAGACATGGAGCCCTGGTACAGAGCCTGATGCAATCAGGAGACCTGATAGAGGTGCAGCACTAACCCCCAAGGCTGAGAGAGAAGGAAGCAGTGCTCTGTGTTCTAGTTGAGGAAGACCTTTAGAGGGGTGGTGACTCTTTGTGGAGAACCTGTCCTGATCCATGCCATAGATAGGGGGTTAGAAATGATTTCCAGCACACCTGAGATCATGTCTTCTATATGTGACAGGTCACTGCACCTATGAAATCTGAACAATATTTCTGCCTCTGCAAGATCTGCACAATGACAACACTGGTTGTCATGATAATGTAGATGGTGGAATCTCACAAGGCCCCAGTCATAGATAACATCTGCTAGAGAGGAATACAATCAGTTCTCCTCAGAAAGAACTCCGTAATAGGTTATCCAATTCCAAATGGTCAGCCTTAAACATACATACATGACCAACACCAAATGGGGTCATCAGGTTGTATTAATATTTACATATACATACATATGTGTATTCACACATATATTTAACAATATATAAGAAGAATTTATGAATTAGAGAGTGTGTGTGTGTGTGTGTGTGTGTGTGAGTTACAAGGAGACCTGGAGGGGGCATATAGAGGAGTAGAAGTGATCTAAATACAGTACTCACACTAGTGTAAGAAATTGTAAAAAACAAGACAAAACAAAATAAATTTCAAAAAGAATGAAATGATGGCTTCCTGCTACAGATGCCCCTTCATCCAGCAATCATGATGCTCTGGGTCTGAACCCTTCACATACCTGACTGTAGTCTCTGCCGCTTACATGAGTTCTGGTAATCATCCATTTCTTCTCCATCTGGGTTCTTAGTAGGGTCCATTACACGTGGCTTCCTATACACAGACAAGTTCTTCCCCTCAGATGTCAGGAAAAACCAGGGAAATGAGCATAGCATACATGATAGTCCCAAATGAAATCTAAGTCATTAGAATTTGAACTCAGTCCCCTGCTTCCTCTCTGGGCTGTATCTGTATAAAGTTCCTCATCCTCCTTGTCATCCACACCCCAGACCTGGGATCATCTCAACTCCTCCTTTTCTCTAGTTTGAATGTGTACCCCAATGTTCATACATTGGAAAGTCAATCCCCAATGTCACAGTGCTGGAAGGACAGAGGGTAAGACACTCTGAGATCATGAGTGTTCTGCTTTAATGAAGGAGTTAATGTCATCATCACAGGAATAGATCCCTGTGGCCTGGCAGGACTTATCACAAAAGCCACCTTGGCCTCTCATTCTCAGCCTTCCCTGTTGCACTGTTGAATGGAACAGGAAGAAGGGCTTCTTTAGATGCAGGGCCTATACCTTTGCCCTTCCTTGTAACCAGAACTGCAAGATATAATCTCCATTCTTTATGTTGAGTGTCCAGTGTCAGACATTGTGTTATAGCTGCACAGACAAACTAATAATCACTCACCTCAAATGCTAATCACCTAGACAGTACCTTCCAAATCTCTCTCCTTTCTGTTCTCTACTCTTCATCTCTACAGACTCCATCCTCTCCCAGGAGCGAACATAATCCTGAACCTCTGCAGCATCCTCTGATAGGCATCCCTGCTTCTGATCTGGTCCCTTCTAGCTCATTTTCTACAGAGTAGCTGACCATAAAATGTTGGTGGAGATGCCCCTTCATGACTGAGGCACTTGAATGCCTCTCATTTCCTCTAGGAAGAAGCAGAAGCTTCTTAGCATGGTTCATAGTTCTTGCTGTTGGCCCTGTCCCCCTCCAGGCCCTCCTATGTCATGCCTTCCTGTTCTGTGACTTCTAGACCAGTGGCTCTCAAATCACTGTGTCCCATGGACAGCCTGCTAAATCAGAAAGTTCACTGAAGGAAGCTGCTCTACCGGAGATTCTGAGTCAGCAGGGATGGAGTGTGGCCTGAGAAGCTGCATTTATGTGGAGCTCCCAGGTGATGGTGAGGCAGAGCAGGTGGTCTCCCACATGGTTTCCTGTTTCTCAATGGAACTGCTCTCTCTGCTTTCTTATCCTCAATCTATGCCTAGAATTTTCTCCTTCTTGGCTCATCCCACATTTCCCATCTTTGAAAGCTTACCTCAGCTTATCTCAGCTTTTGATGACATCGGACAAATCACCACTGAACGCCTAGGTTTTCAAGATACAATTCTGTGGACTATGGGGGAACAAGTGTCTCTCCTCTGCTGGACTGAGATAATGAGTCATGTCTGCCTTATTCTCTGATGTGCCTTTAGATTGCCAAACAGTGTATGATGCACAGTGGGTCTGCGGGAATGTCTGTTCAATGAATGGCTGAGCCTCCTAAGTCTTCAGTACACCCTCCATTTCACATGTGTCACAGTAGCTAGGAACTTGAGAACAGATGGAATTCATGGTCATGAAATGAAATGCATCAAAGTGGGAGAGCATGGGGCTGCAGCACAGCCTCTGGAGAGAAAGATGACTTTGCTGTCCTGCAGCTTGCCATCAGTCCCACCGTAGTGTGTGTGTGCCCATGTGTCTGAGTACCGGGGTTGTAACAGTGATACATGGTTTTCTTCCCTAAGAGTCTTTCTGTCTGTGTCTTTCTCTCCTCCATGTGGTGACTGCTTTAATTGTCCAGTGGCCTGAGTTCACTGTTGGCTAATATTTATTTTCTACTATTATCACACTTGCTGTGCCAGAGGACTCACCACTAACTCAGCTTTTCATATTCTATTGTCCCAGTTGAAGACATTAGAAGGCATGCTATGTGATTCTATTTTTAAAAAAATAAAACCATAACACACACACACACACACACACACACACACACACACACACACACACCTCACTTTGGTCACTGTGGTTCAGTAGTTTCTCTTGATCTCTTTGTCTTTCCCATCACCTCAGGACCCTTTTCCCACCTTTCAGGTCTGGGACAGCCACATAGTGCCTTGGTTGACCAGTAGGAGTTCTGTGCCCACTCCTTACCATGTGCTGGAGATGTGCAGCTGTGAATTCTCTGCCTCCACAGTCCTGAGCTCCATCATCACCTGGGCACTGAGAGGAGCCTGGTCCATTCTACAAGCACAAGAGGGAATGTTTCGCCGGGCGTTGGTGGCGCACGCCTTTAATCCCAGCACTCGGGAGGCAGAGCCAGGCGGATCTCTGTGAGTTTGAGGCCAGCCTGGGCTACCAAGTGAGCTCCAGGAAAGGCGCAAAGCTACACAGAGAAACCCTGTCTCGAAAAACCAAAAAAAAAAAAAAAAAAAAAGAAAGAGGGAATGTTTCTTCTGGGATTCACCACAGCACCATGAGACCTCAGGGTCCAGGATCCTGGGCTCTGTTGTCTGTAGATGGAGCTAGTGAGAAGCCTTATTAAGACTTATTCTTGAGCCACAACCAGGACAAAGAATGGAGAACAAGAGGCCGAGTGGAGGGAGATGTGTCCATAAGTCAGTTTCATTTGGGCTTGGCCAGTGTGTGGGGGGAGATCTGAATCCAGGATGATGACCTTTGGAACTTTCCAGATCTGAAATGAGGGTCTTGCCCTCTATACCCTTTCCCTCACAGGTTAGTCACTGGAATCAGACTTTCCAAGGGAAGGGGACATGGCCATAGATGAGGGGATTCTTGTTGGCAAAGGGCAGCACAGTGGCCATCAGCATTCTTAGTTGCTAGAGATCATGACTATATCCCCAAAGGAATTCTGGGCAGCTGTTCAAAGTAAACATGTAGTGCTGGGATCATTGGTATTCTCCTTGAGGGAAAGAGCCTTGGTTCCATTAGTGCTAAGGAAGGAAGCCTTGCCTTACCCAGCAGCCACTACCTGAGGTCTGCTGGTCCCATTCTCATGATCCTCAAGTTCAACGGCTTCTGGCTGTTAAGATATCGATCTTCTTTGGGCTTCCATGTTCTCAGTCCATAACATTAGATATATCACTCCCTTGTGCCTATTCTGAGGCACAGACAAAGCAGGAGGAGAAAGGTTTCTGCACCCGTGAGAGGCTGTGCAATATCACGTGCAGCAGAGGCCAGTTCTGAACAAGCATTTCCCAGGTCTGCTTTTGCCTGGGCCCTGGCCTCAGGTTGGCCCAACCAAATCCTGTTTCTCCTTCAGTATCAGAAAACCCTCCCAAGCCATTCAATAAACTCACATCTCTCGCAGCATGACATTTTCACAACACTGTTGGGTGCTCAGCTTTCAGCAGAGCTTGTCAATACAAAGTCATAATGTTTGTCTCTTTCCATTCAGCTACAGGAGGACAGAGCCATGTGTATTTGTGATTGTATCCTTAGGGCCTGGATCAATGCTTACACGTAGAAGCTCTGATATGAATGCATGCATGAATGGATTCATGAATAAATAAATGATTGAAGCACTGTCTTGGGGTAAGGCAAACATGGGATTCTGTTAGGTTAATAGCCTTGCTAATACATATGGTTACTGTACCCAGCTGCCTACCTGGTATTATCTTTGTACTTAGATATGTACATTTTATGTTATTAGAATCCACAGGGTGAGTATAATATTCCAGTTCGAAGATGAGGAAACTGAGTGTTGGAAAAGAGAGTGGCTTGGCCAAGTCGTAGAGTGTAAATGGCACAGCCAGTCAGGAACTGGACTAATAATGCCTTTTTTGTACCCTTCCTTTCCTATGTCCTGTGTTCTGCATCCTCTATATCCTTCCCCTGCCTCCTGCCCAGAAAGGAATCTCAGGATTTTACTTACCGCAGGATTCTGAGGTTGCAGGCAGGATTCCTGAGCGCCTCACACAGCAGCCTCACACCTTGGTCACCCAGGTCATTCAGCTGCAGGTCTAGCTCAGTCAGGCTGGAACTGGCCTTGAGCACTGAAGCCAGGTCCACACAGTGGCTGGATGTGAGGCCGCAGCTGATAAGCCTGCATGGAAGATGCTCACCATCAGCTTCTCCAGGGCTTATTGCTCTTGGGAACTGAGCTCAGGTCTCCCTTTTGAGCCCTGGCACACTGTGCTAACAGTGTTTTGCTCTCTGGAGTGCCTTTCTAGTCTAGGTGGATGATTCCATGCTTCCCACAGCTGAGCTACAGAAACAATGAAGTACAGGTTAGGGACCAATCCTCTGCTGTGACTGGACATGGCAGAACTCCATGAGGCTGAGGACAGCTCACAGGTGTATTTCAAGAGCCATCTGAAGTGAAATTCACCAGGCATAGAATAGGGTATGCTCTAACTCATTATGTAAAATCCTAGTAAAGATGGAGTCCATAGAAACATAGTAGAAGGCTGGATATGAGGAATAAAATGGGAGAAGAGGGCATTGACTGAGCCTGTAGCTTTCTCCCCTTGGGTTTCTCTTTGCTTCTGTGTTCTTCAGCTCTCCTAGCCACTTTCTCAGGAAGTTCGCTCCACTGGAGACCTCATGGTCCTGTTGATAGTGGGAAAACTTGAGTGTGAGTCTCTCACATTCCCATTTATTATAGCCTATCTGGCATCTGTCACAGATATGGTCAACAGGGTTTGGTGACTATTTGATGAATACCAATCCTCACCCTAGACTCAGGTTTCGTGTTTGGATTCCAGTCTACCCATCTGGGCTTCAGAGGAGAACCCAGGCCTGACTCACCACAATGTCTTTAGGTGACATCCAGGGCATTTCAGGGTCTTACAAAGATTCCACAGTGCAAAGTAGCTCAGTGTATTTCCACTTAGGTCCAGCTCCTCCAGGCTTCCTGTGAACTCAAGAGTAGAGAAGAGAATCTTCCAACTGGCATTAGTTATTGGGGTCCACCTGTACCTGAGGGTGAGCAAAAGAAAAAAAGAGAGAGAGGCATGAGGGATGTGAATTATGTGTGCATGGTCTGATGTGTGCAGCCCCACACAGCAGATTAGGTTTCTATCTGCCTGAGCACCAGGCCTAAATATGCCACCCTCAGGATTCACCAGCCTCTACATGCTCCTTTGCTCCAACATCTGGTTCCCCTCCTCCGGGTGGTTCCTCATCTACACTGGTTAGCATAGCATGCCCTGTGCTCATTTTGTGTGCCTGTTTCTGACTTAGTCTAGGTGTCCCACAGGGTGTGAACAGGTGGATGACACATTTTCTTTTTAATCTATAGTGCTTACCACAGGTCCTGGCACAAAGAAGGACCTTGGTAACTCAGACAGCCTTCTTTCTTTTGATGTGAATGTACCCGCTTTCCTTTGGAACAGAATTCTAGAGTCTCATGAAGGAAAACTGAAAAGGGTAGGTAGAAAGAGCAATCAGCAGAGGTGGTTGAGAATGACTCTGTGATGGGATGTTGGACATGGTCATAAACACTACAGATGTGTTGGTTCACATGGTCCCTATATCCTTCCAAGGATAGAAGAGCACAGAGAAAGGAAAGAGAAGGGAGGGGAGATCAGCTCAGAGTGGTAGTGCATTCCTGTAATGCTTGCTAGCAACCAGGCATACAAAGGCAAGAAAATGGTGAGTTCTAGGCCAGCCTAAGCTACAAACCTGAAGGGGCTGGGAGAAGCTCCAAACCTAGCCTGTACAATATTCTATACCAAACACTACAAACAAAACAAAATAACAAGCTCAAAAACCCACAACTCCAAAAACACAGGTAAAAAGTGTCAACTTTGACTGAAACAAAAAGTATAGGACATTTTATTCCAATTTTACAAAACCAAAGAAATGTCAAGGTAACCAAATACTTAATTTAAAAGGATGGTGTATTTTTTAAGCTTTATTTATTTTTTACATTATGTGTACATTTCTATTCATTCCTGTCTGTGTTCACTATATATATGTAGAAGTCTGCAGAGGATAGAATCAGGATCTTGGATCTTCAGAGACTATAGTTAAACGTGGTTGTGAAGCATCTGATGTGGGTGCTGGGAATGGATCCACATCTTCTACAAGACCAGCAACTTGTCTTAACCATGGAACCACTCCTCCAGCTCTTAAAAGACTACAGCCATTGCATGGCTAGTATTTACACTGACTTAAAGTGGAAAAGTAAAACTTCAGAATGTACTATTCAATAATCCAGAGGTGCCATTATGTGTGGTGGTATTGTGTTCCCCAAAATATTGTGTACTCTAATAAATTTATCTGGGGTCAGAGAACAGACAGCCACTAGATACAAAGGCTAGAAAATGGTGGCACTCACACCTTTAATCCTAGCATTCCAGAGATAGAAATCCCTCTGGATCTCTGTGAGTTCAAGGCCACATTGGAAATAGCCAAGCATGGTGACACACACCTTTAATCCCAGAAAGCCAGCCTTTAGTCCCAGGGAGTGGTGGTAGAAAACAGAAAGATATATAAGGCGTGAGGACCAGAAACTAGAAGCATTTTGGCCTGGTTAAGCATTTGGCTGGTTAAGCATGTGGCTGGTTAAGCTTCAGGCTTTCCAGCAGCAGTTCAGCTGAGAGCCATTGAAATGAGGACACAGGAGCTTCCAGTCTGAGGAAACAAGACCAGCTGAGAAGTTGACCAGGTGAGGTTAGCTGTGGCTTGTTTTGTCTCTCTGATCTACCAGCATGGACCCCAATAACTCACCTCGGGTTTGATTTTATTAATAAGAACTTTTAAGATTCCTGCTACAATTATGAGCCCCATACCAAAATTGCTCACCCTGCTATCTTTGATGCCTTAATTTTCTGTGCTGGTCTTTTCCCTTCCCTTGGGTTTGACCAGTCCCATCTCTGAACTGTTTTCCATGTGTCCAATGCCTTCCTGCTTGTCTCCCTGCCTTGTCTGGCTGTCTCTTCCCTTCAACTTTACTTTCTCTTTAGCAACTGAGGCACCTCCCTTTCCCTTGGGGTTGTCACAGGCTCTTAATCACTGTCCTTTTCAAGTAGGCTGGTGTTCCTTGTTTCTCTTGCTCTAACTGGTCTTTGTCTCGGTACATACTTAGAATTCTTCTGAAGCAGACAACTTCCTTTTGCAACCTCTGTATCAAGGTCCTTCAAGGCTCACTTGTTAATAACCAGAGACAATTAGAAACAACTTAAATGACCCAGAACAGGAAAATGGTTCAATCGGCCAAGGTATTATTCTCCCAAGGGAATATAAGCATGCAATTTAGAATGGTATTGTATTTGTACTAGACCTTTGGTAACCAGCCTTGATTCATTAAGAAAATTAACATGAATATAAGATAACAGAGATAGTGTGGCTCATCCCATAAAAAAGTACATAGTAAAAAGGTTAAAGGGTGTATCACATTTTTTCTTTCATGCTGTTGATCAAACACAGGGTCTTGGGCTTATTAGGTGTGGTGTTCTAAATGATATTTCACCCAGAATCATGGGCATTTAAATCGTAGGACTCTGATTAGTGGTACTCTTTGGAGAGGCTTAGGAGGTGTGGATCTGTGGGAGGAAGTATGTTGCAGGGGGCAGGTTTTAAGAATCCCAGCACTCGGGAGGCAGAGGCAGGCAGATCTCTGTGAGTTCGAGGCCAGCCTGGGCTACCAAGTGAGTTCCAAGAAAGGCGCAAAGCTACACAGAGAAACCCTGTCTTGAAAAACCAAAATAAATAAATAAATAAATAAATATTTCAAAGTCTTGAGCCATTCCCAGTACAGTCTTTCTGTTTCCTGCTTGTGGTTTAGGAATGAGCTCTCAGCTGCTTCTCCAGTCACACCTTTTCCCTCTGTCATGATGGACCCTGATCATTCTGGAAGCAAAAGCCCAAATAAACTCTTCTATAAGTTGCCTGTCTTAGTTAGGTTTCTATTGCTGTGAAGGGACAATATGACTATGGCTACTCTTATAAAGAAAACATACTTTTTTGTTTGTTTGTTTTTTGAGACTGGGTTTTTCTGTGTAGCTTTGCACCTTTCCTGGATCTCACTCTGTAGACTAGGCTGGACTTGAACTCACAAAGATCCACCTTCCTATGCCTCCCAAGTGCTGGGATTAAAGGTATGCACCACCACCACCTGGCTATAAAGAAAACATTTAATTGTGGTGGCTCAGTTACAGTTCAGCGATTCAGTCCATTATCACCATGATGGGGAGCATGGCAGCATGTAGGCAGACATGGTGCTGGCTACATCTTCATCAGAATGAAACAGGAAGTGGTGTGTCTCACTGAACAGTATCTTCAGCATATATGAGACCTCAAAGCCCACCCCTCACAATGACATACTTCCTCCAGCAAGGCCACACCTCCTAATAGTGACACTCCCTCTGAGATTATGGGGGCAAATTACATACAAACTACCCTGTTGCCTTAACCCAAATTAATCAAGACAGTCTCTCTACCAATGATCTACATCCCTATCCCATGATATTTTGAGACAGCATTACACTATACAGCTCAGGCTACTGGGACTTGACCTTCTTGCCTCAGCCTTCTGAGTTTGAGATGACAGGTGTGCATGACCAAGCTCAGGTACCTCAATTCTTAACATTCTCTCTGAGAAATTGAATTCTGGAAGATAATAATGTTTTTGATTCATTGATAGATCTTCACTCTTCTATAGTAAACAGGTTTTTATTAGATCATCCTAATCATATAAAAGGAGTGATTGAACCAATTTTCCATATGTGTGTAACACACTTTGATCATGTCTGTGCTTCCGACAGACATGTTTTTTTTTTTCCTCTCTTCATCTCCTTCCTGTTCTCTGACAGTTGCTCCACTACTTTTAAGTCATTTACTTTTCATGTGGGCTTTTGCTGAGTTGTTCAGATTAGTGTCAAAGCCAGAACTCAAGAATTATCCCTGTTTTAGCCACTGGAATGATGGGATTTTAAAGTTATTCCAGCAAGGCCAGCTCAGCTTATCTGGGGAAAAGCTTCTGTCTGAAAAACAAAAGGCTCAAATAAAAACATTTCTTCCCCTGAGAATCTCTCCCTTTCTGGTCCACTTGAGTGAGCATTCTCTTCCCTGATACCTGGTGGGTGCCTGATCATTGCAAAAGTCACACCCTATGTAATTAGTGTACTTGACTGCCTTAGCTCCAACTTTTGAGGTCCTCATGGCAGCACCTGTATTTTTCCTCCTGTAATTGATTGGTAGGGCCCACCATAAAATGAGTGTTTAATGAATATTGATGCTGTGAATCATCTAGAGGGGAGAGAGACACTTCCTGATACTGAGTAACAACTACAGCACAGTGGAAAGGGAAGTCTACCTTGCTGTTGGTATTGGAAGGAAGTTAAGAAGCCTCCAGGCTGAGTGCCAGGGCCAGACTGTCTTCATAAACATAAACAAGGAAGTCATCTGGATAGGGAAAACATAGGGACTCTCTTACATATGCATTATGAGGTAATGGGGGAAGACTTCAGGGTCAATGTCATTGTCATGGGGGTAGGGTATGGTGCCTGCAAGAGCTAAATGAACAGTCTCCCAGAAAGAAAGCATGGTAAGAGAGAGAATCAGTCACTGTGGGCCATTTGAACCTTGTGAAGGGTAAAGATGATTTGAATCAGAGAAGGTGAGTGGTCCTCACTGAGGCATAGGGAGAGATATAAGCTCATAGCTCCATTGCATAGTTAGGCACACAGAGGCAAGTAGAGAAAGGTGGTGAGATTCAGCAGTTAGATGTCACTGGTGACCTGTATTGTGCTGCCCTGGATCTGGCTAAGAGTGCTGCTGGTGCTCAGAATATGTGTGCTCATAGGATCCACAGAGAAGCTAGAGAAAGGGCTGTGTCTGGATACTCACAGAACCATCCTAGGGGCCATCAGTGTTTGTCCTTGCTTTATAGCCCCATTCAACTGAAGCCTCTTCACATAATGGCAGAACTTAATGCAGAAAGTGACCACCATGAGCTCCACATCTGTCTGGACTACCAGGTGCTTCACATTTGTCTGGAACAATGGGTGCATCATATCTGTCAGGGTATTGTCCCTCATTTCTTGAAGATCATGCATCACTTGTGTCAGGAGCTCCTCATTTTGAATCTCGTACAGACAATGAAACAACCCCAGAGAATACAGCTGCTGATGCTGGAGCAACGCCCTGGATTTCCCCAGCAGGTCCCATGGTGTGTGCAGAATCAAGGGGCCTGTGAAGATCTTCCTTATCTCTTTCATCCCCCGTTCACTTAAAATGCCAAATAGGAAGCGTATGGTGGGTGCTTCAAACAGATCTTGTCTTCCATACACTTCTATAAGTGTTTCCACAATTCTGTAGTTTTCCATATCATCATGTCTTTCACTACCTCCTAAGATGTAGGACATTGCTGCAAAGAACTCCTGGAGACACAAGTGGGCAAAACTGTAGCTCAGAGAACTGGGCTGCTTTTGAAGGACACCAATCTTCAGGAAAGTGGCAATGACATCCTCAGATAACCCTTGATCCTGGAGATCTCTCTCACTGAACAGGGTCCTTCTTTGGCAGATCCCCTCAGCAGCCAGTGAGCAGAGCCCTGTGAGCTCATTTCCCTGGTGCTTGGATGGGAGAGTCTGGGAAAGATATTTCAGGCAGAGAGCTGTGGTGGTCTGAGCAGTCATTGTGAGGTCTCCACCTTGTTCCATCTGCTGCTTCAGGCAAGTGCAGACCAGCCAGGACACCCAGGGCACAAAACATAGTGTTGAGAGCACTGGGTTTGATTCAATGAAGCTAAAAGCTGCAATTGATTCTTTTTTCTTTGCAAAATATTTGTTGAAGTATTCCTTCCGTCCTGACTCAGAGAAACCCAGGACTTCCACCCAACGTGGCTGCCCCAAGGAAGGAATGAGCTTCTTCAGAACTGTTGTCCGAGCTGTGAGCAGCAAGGAAGCCCTAGGCAGGATGGATTTCCTCAGCAAACTGCCCAAAAGTGTGTTCACTGGCTGTTGTTGGCTCCAGTGCAGACAGAGCTCAGGATTCTGCTCCTCCAAGACCCATGCTGGCTCATCTATGCCATCCAGGATGAAGAGCAACTTCTCAGGGTGAGACAGGATCTGCCTGATGGGAGCCTCAGACACAGCCTGGTCTTTTGCTATGATCTCAGCAAGACTCAGCTGTTTGTACTGGGCCAGTTCTCTGCAGCTGAAGTAGAAGACATGCTGGAAGTGATCCCTGTAGAGCTGGCCTTCCTCCCATGCTCTCCTCACCTGCCTGGCCAGCGTTGACTTCCCAATCCCAGCAGCCCCCTCTAATATAACTAGGTGAGGCTCCTCCTGGGTACCTGTGCTTGGGAGAAATAAGTCTTTGGCCTTAATCAGATGTCCTCTCTTCTCTGCTACACATTGATGCCAGCTTTTTCTGTCCAAAGTCTCCCAGCCTCTTGGGCAAGATTTTTGTAGAAGTAGTAGCTGTGTGAAATTTTGGGGCAAATCTTCTGTTTTTGAGGGATAAAGATTCTCTCCTTCTTGGTTATGATATATTTCTGGAGTGATTCCTAAGTAAAGGAGAGAAAGATGGAGCATAAGTGTACACAGTAGAGTTGTTTGTTCTTTCATTCCTTTTTTTCTTCCTTCTTTTCATCCTTCAACAACTGGACAGGCTTAGGCATCTGTCAAAGCTGTACAACAGACTTTCTGTGGGTGCTGGTATATCTGAACAGTGCAGGGCAAAAAAAATGTGATCTTTATAGTAGAAGAATTTAGTTCAGTTCTTCACTTGACCTGTAATAATGCTGTATGGCCTTCATCCATACACCAGATATTTATCAATGTCTTAACTCTGTGCCAGACCTACTCTTGAGATCAAGAATAAAGTGGGAGTTCACAGAAGCCTCTTTGTTCTCATTCAGTCTATGGGATGATCCCATAGCTTCTCTAAGCTCAGCTTTCCCATTTGTAATTTTGGGGGCTGTGGTCTTTCTCTGCAAGAGGCCAGGGAGGACTAGAAGGGATTACAGACAGTGGAGCCAATGTCTGTTCCTGACAGATCCCATTGGCCATCACCATTGCAGTCCTGTCATCATTCTGTTAAGTCCTGAGATTGTGGGTCTAATGCAGCCTGTAAGACCAGCTTCCAGACTGTTTGCAGGGTAGTAAAGAAAATGCCACAGAGTAACAGGGGCTTCAGGAACATTTTCTATCTGAGGTTTTTAGGAAAGGAACGAGCGTGTTCTGATGGTTACTTTCCTTA